AAAAAAAATCTGAAAGAGGAAGTTGAGGGTGTCTCTTGCCTTCTCGCCCTCATAAGCTTCTCTTCCCCAGGCTTTCCTCCCCAACATCAAAGTTTTCCTAACTGAGCTTAGCACCACAGCTACTGACTAGAGTCCAAGATGAATTTCTGCTACAAGAACTGAAAAGATCAGAAAACACATTTATAAAAGAAAACTTGCTGCAACAAGACAAGACATACACACTGATGAACAGGCAAATGAAAGCTCTGCCTTCTGCTTGGCCATGTTATTAAAAAACGTGCTCTGTACAGAATAGCGCGAGACATAGAGTAAATTAAATTCAGCAATTAACACGTCCTCTGTTGCCTCTGGCATCCCCTTCTTCCGGAGGCTCTCAGCTTTCTCTGGCTCAGAAGGCACCCTGCCACAGGCCAAAGTTGGCTGGGAGTGAGGCCTTGCACGCCTGCCCCAGCCAGTGCTCGGAGCAGTTCTCCAACAGGAGCCTGCAGAGTCCTTTGACAGCCCCTTTTCCATACGCCTCCCAGATCTGCTCTTCCCTTTCTCTTCTTCCATATCCTAACTTTAAAGTCCAACCTAACCCTAAGCTGAGAGTCCAGTAGGGGACCCCTCCAAACTTCCAGACCAATTACTGCTTGGCATTTCCCTTTGGTAGTTCCCTCTCAATACTGCATTACTCCTGCCCAGTTTACTCCTTGTATGAGCCCTGAGCCCTAACTTCTGGCTGCCTAGGCTACGTATACCCACAGAGGAAATTCTAGCAGTAGCTCCCTATTGACTTTGGCATTTCCTCTTCAACCTTTTGCTACTGTCTCTTCCCAGTCTCTTCCTTGCCTGAACTCTAACCTAGAGCATAAACGTAGACAGTCCACATGAGTAGCTATAGCAATACTTTCCAGTTAACAACAGAAATACAGCATATGACTTTATCGGGTACTTTTCATAGGATTAGAATCTCCCAAAAGGAAGGAAAAAAGCCCAACAATTAAAGAACCTCATTGTAGAGAGACATGATTTATAAGCCAGATTCTTATAAGGATTTGAAAAATATTATTTCTTTAAATTCACCATGAGGAACAGTACTAATTCACTGCAAATTCCAGACACATCACATTGCAAGAGACTCTCAGGATGGAATCACATCCCTAAGGTTTCTTCTTAAGCTCCTACACTGCCAATCCAAGTTTGATTTTTTTAATAAAATTTATGAATGCTCCAGATTATTTTTTATTTATTCTAAGATTTTTTTTCAAAGCTCTCTTGTGCAAATGAAAAGTCAAGAACATACAGTTTTGCCAGGATCCTAGATAGGTTTTATGTTCTATAAAGAGCAAGTAAAAGGACAGAGCAAGTCCCTTGAAAAATATCCACGACTACTGTCCTATACACTCAGATTTCTTACTGAATTTGAACAGCGTTTCTTTATGAATTAATGGATGCATTATTAAGGTATAGTATTTTGGATGAGGGATGAAATAACAGCAATTTTAGTAAGAATATTGCTCAAAAGATAATCAAAAATTTAGGTTTAGGTTTGTCTTTTCAAATGGGTCCCTTTACTTTTACAAAATACACAAACAAGAAATAGGGATTCTTTTAACGTTAACAAAGGCAAGCTAATAGCTAGTCAGCATCAACTTGAAAAGAGGCCTCAATATCGAAATACAACATATCTCCAAAGCACAATGCCCACAGGTATCACTGAGGCATGCAGAAAATAGCCTGATGCATACAGTTAGCTTCTCTACCAGAATATAGACAGAAGCATTATTTGACTAAAAAGGACCAAAAAAGCTGTAGCAACTCTGCTTACATAGCCAAAAGAATATCTGGAGGTTAAGATGTGGTGTCATACCTTAACATATTCCAGCACAGGATCCAGGATATTCTGATCTCTGTAAGAAAATGGGGCAAAAGAGGGAAGGAGGACACAGAAAAAGAAAAAAATAGTAAGTCCATGTATTTCTTATAATGAAGAGAGGCATTTAAGTTTAAATCCAAGTTTAAAACAGTTCATGTATTATAGCAACATAGTCTATGATCTAACTTTCGATGAATACATAAACCTCTAGAAGGTTAGTAGTGAAATCTCTAGCAGTTCATTCGGGAACTAAAACTCACCACAGCGTTTTAAGCAAAGTGAAAACAATCAATCTTATAGAAAATGACATTTACAACAGTTACATACAACCTGAAATGTTTCAAATAAATTAAAAGGAGAACTCTCCCAAGAGCTTCTAAATGTATTTATTTGCTTGAATGACTTCCCATTTAAGCTACTTCTGAGGGTATCATTGAAATGGCACTAGTAACACAAGAAAATTAGAAGTAAATACTCATTTTTCTTATAAATAAAGCACAGGTAATTTTACTTCTGAAAAATAAGTATGGTTCTTGTACTCTTTTAGAGACTTCTCAAAATTATCATAATTTCAACACGATGGTTATTTGAAAACCAGGCAATCGTGCCATTGCCCATTTTTAAAGATAACTGATCTCTTTGCAAGTTTTCTATACCTATCAGTGACAAATATTCCCAAAGGCACAAAAGCCTAAGAGCAGAGGCATGTGATCAACTACACTGCTTCTGTAAAAAAAGAATAAAAATAAACATGTGTGTACAAAGGGTTTTGTATACTTGTTTTTGTTTGAAAAAATCAGGTTAACAGAATTTGTGGCATAGACTCGGATGTTTTCTACACAATCTAAGATGACATACACTGTGCTGCCTTAATTGCAAACATGCAAGTACCTAGTACACTGAAAACCTTGCCAACTTAGAAAGGGTTCAGGGGTTTGATATGGCAACCGAGTTTGTCACACTGACAACACACATCCCATGAATCTAGAAACAGAATCTTGTTCAATGGAGGTTGTTATGATGATGTAGCATAGAAAACTTAATAAGTAGCTTCAAATACATAGAAGTTGGGTTACTAGAATCTACCAACCCAGGACAGAGCCTCTAAGCTCAATGTTGTTATTTAAATGTAACTGCTGAAACCATGCGACTGTTTTACACAAGGTTTTAGTTTTGTCCCCTAACATCATTTAAGCTGGCACAAAATAAAGGGGCAAAGCAGAGTCTTCCTGCTTCTATGCCCTGTCTCTAAAGATTCTCCAAATGTGATGGTGCTCAGCTGTCCAGGTTATGCCATAAGTTGCTGCTTCACATTATCATGATATTTATCATGGGTCAAACTCCATTCACAATTAAGTTAAAAGGAATAATGCCACCAAATCTAGTGCAAATAGAATTTGGTCTATCTGAAACTTTTTATAGCCAATATACAAAAAAGGAGAAGGTTGGTAACCATATGCATATAAAATATGTAAAAGATAACAGAAAAAAACAAGGATGAAATTACAGAGGGAAAAGGAAGTTGCTAAAAATAAAAACGTTCTATTTCCTAACAACAAGCAATTTGACTACAAAAAAAAATCCCATTCTTAAACATGGCCAAACTCTGCTCACATTCAAATGAACACAGGCAAATCATGGCAATGCTGAATGCTTCTGAAAAACTGCACAGTTATTCACTTGTCTTGGGTGTGAGAGCACCGCAAAGGTCACGGGCCGCCTGTCTGCAAAGGCAGCACGTGCAGAACCAACCTCAGCAACAAGCCTAACCGTTCACTTGCTCACTTTGCCAGTCTGCCCACTTCACCCGTGGCTGCGTGTGGAAATGACACTCCTGCAGAGCAGCCTGGCACAGGAAAGAGAGCGAATGGTGTAACAAAGCTCTCCATAGGTACTATCACATTTTTGCATAGCCTGTCCAAAAAGCCGTAACGCACTCCGACGCTGGAAACCCTGCAACTGCTTCCTAGCACAAGTTATGCATGAGGAGATTCATGCTGCAACTCTCTTACCCTCAGATACCTTCTTCCTACCAGGGCTTCCCTTACACTCCCCACCTTCCCTTCCTGTCTGAGCCTTCATCTTTGCACAATTTTTTGAGGTTATTTTCAAGATATGGTTACTTTTAATGGCAAGGAGTAACAAATTGTAAAGATTAATTACTGAATTTTCCTGTAACTTAGTTCTACCACAGACTGCCATATTATAAGCAGAGAAACAGGAGATAAAGCAGTTAGTCCAAATAATGTCAAATAATAAGCAATTAGTCAAAATAATCCAGGTAGCATCACCTCATCTCAAGGGGCAAGGATGGAAAAAAAAATATATCCTTCCAGTATTTTTTGCAGTAAGTCTGGAAAAAAAAAAACAAAAAAAACACCATCTGATTTGATAACATGTTATTATACCATCCCCCGCAAAGAGTCAAAGTCCTCTATTGATTGTGTGGAAACCGTAGCAGAATAAATACTCCTCCAGTAACAGTACATTATTAAAAAAAAAAAAAAGTAATTAGTCATCACAGTCTTGACCTCCATTTCTCTGAGGCTGTTCTGACCAGAAACACATAATTGTGTTTCCAGTGACATCTGGAAATGCCTCTCTGCGGGCCAATCTTGTAGACATAGAAACCTTTAATCTTCTCTTATTAGTCCTTGGAAATTATCTCAATTTCTTCAGCCCAGCTACAAGATTCTTATGAGCATTGTATATTTTGCATGTGTAGGTTTCTTGTGGATATTGCCAAGAAAATACACAGAGTTTGGAGAACTGCCATGGAGCTTCAGCAACCCTACCAAAGTATGACAGAAGGACAACAGAAAATGCAGAGCTGCTCCTCTCCCATCAATATAAACCTGCTGTAACCTGAAGAGTTTCGTGTTATACTGGTTGTGAGTGACTGCCCAAGAGCATTTAACTAATACTGTTGAATACCACAAGAACCAATACTCAGCTCACAAAACACATGGACCACTAAAGCTGACTCAGGTGGGGAGAGGGAATAGAATACGGATGTTATTGCAGGAGATGCTCTTCCGCTTCCCTTACCCCTAAGTGGCAGCCAAACATGAGGGACTAACTTAAAAACTACTTTTTTACATTGACAACATCAGTAACCGTAGGTAAAAAGAAAAAACCCTATAAGCAACTGAAACCATACTTTTGGTAAGAACAGATTAAGTGTATTTATGAAAACTTCAAATCATGCATTGATTTGAAGACAATGAACAACCAAACACTAAAGTCCAATAAAGAAAACACTGAAGTATGAGTAACTAGTCATTCTTTTCAAATTCTTGATAAAGTCATGATGTACTTATACTCCATCCTGCCATCGAAAAGAGGAATTCTAGTGTTCAACCCCAAAAGAAGCTGTTCAATTCAGGGGATGCAGAAGAACAGTCAAAAATTCAGTTAAGTTAGATATTCTATGCCTTTCTTTTTCTGCGGACTCCATGCTTGGTCCTGTCACTCTCTAGCACTTTGCAATAAAGTGCTTTAAGCAGTTATCCCTTAATCTTTCAGTGAGGATTCTATGAAAGGCTTCTCCTTCTTTCAGTAACTGTAAGTTACCTAGTCTCACCATTGCTGCCACAAAGAATCCCCAAACATTCCCACCTTAATTGACTAAGCCATACGAAGCATCTGCTTGCCTTTGGCATCCTTGGACCTCTCAGTCATGCTTACAAATTAATCGTAATAACTTAAAACAAATTTAACTATAGACATAACAGCATTACCAGAGATGCCCAAATCCTCAGCTATCATTCAGCTCCTATATATGTGTTCTTACCCTGACAGAAACTAAAGTAGTAGCTCAGACTGCTGCTCTGCATTTTTATGAACAAAACATTAAGGCACATTGCCAGTTATCTTCTCTAGTCTGCTAACACTTAAATTATAAAAGCATATTTATTTATTTATTATAAAGTGACCTTTACTGAAGACTTTTTCAAAAGCTCCTCCTTTCTACTACACTGGAAGAGTGGCCTTGAACAAAACCGTCTTCTTTACAGTGCCAAGGCTGATGCCTGAGAAATCAGAGTGAAGATAACACAGGCTCAAACAGAGCCTGAGAAATTGAAACTGCACCAGGATGTCACACAGTTCCTCAAACAGACCTAAGTGCTATAAAAAGACCAGCTGGGATTCAATGCTACTTCAATTTGTGTCGTTGCAATCTCTCCATCTATGTAGATTTAAGAAATGCACATCTATTCAGGTATGAAGATGCAAGCTGGAACACGCTAGACAGGCAGTATTTATGTAATGCAGATCAATGTTATTTGTACCGTAAACTAGAGTGAAAAAAAAAGAAGCTGCCCTCCAGCAGCTTCTACTTTACACACGCTCCAACATTCCTAAGGCCATTGCACCCTCCATCCTCCAGCTGCACATCACTATGGGCATGACTCATTCAAGCACCAGTGGAAACAAGTGCAGACTGCTATGACTAACTGGGTAATGACCTGCAGTTCACACCAGGCAGCAGGGTCTCTGCAGTAATTAAAACTCAAGAAAAGACACAGCACTATTTTCTCTGAAATTAAATGAAATCTTGACTTGTTCATATTTGTTAGGAGGCTCCTGCAGAGATAATGTTGTTACAACCATTTGCTTTTAGCACTTCAACCCTTTCACATCTCTCCACTTGTTTCACTTAATCTACCATAGAAAAAAATCTGCCCTAATTTTTCTACCTCTTCCAAGTAAATTCTACTTCTTAACAGTATACAGTAGTGCTCTCACTACTTTTCGTAAGCTCAGACTAGGCATCTCCATTTTCTTCCTTTACATTCCTTAAGACTTTGGGGTCACGGAGCCAAAACTCTTCTCTTAAAAGCTCTCCATAAATCTTCCTTATACAGAACTGTTAAAATTCTGTAAAAGTAGCAGTTGGGCAGCAAGACTACAGCTTATTCCAAACGGTCACCATTTCTATGAACTTCCTTGTATTTTTTTCTCTGTATTTTTTATTTCACCCATTCACTTCCACCTTCAGCTGGCAACACTTCAGAGTCTTGTAGTTATTCAAGATTCAACTCAGCAAGGAGAAGGAAGCAAACCTCACATAGCTAAAAGCGCAGAGCAGTGGAGATCAGAAAGGGAAAAAAGGTACAGAACATCCTTAATGTCCAGATAAACTAATATGCTCCAGACTAACCCTTTATGGTAACAATAGAAAGTCCACTGCTGATACTGCTTTATCTGAAATGATGGGGAAAAACAGCCAAACACAACAGAAAACCTCTGCTGCCTAATACTCAAACTCAGAGGCTAAAGTCTGGCTAAATATAAAATTCTATACACCAGTTAAACTCTACAGAACTACAAAAACGATATGTATTCTTAGCAGATATAGACAGATTGTCGGAACTAGTCTATAAACTACATTTTGGTTTACAGTTTGTCACATTTGCATCATTTGGAGCCACATTCAGTCAGCACTGCAGGAATCATAACTCCTGGGCTGCACACTGTCACAGGTAAAGAATCATTGAACCAAACCCCAAACCCTGCTGCGCCCCTTCCTATGTCCTCTATCTTCTCTCCTACCCCTCATTCCCTGCCCCCCACACACACTCTCCAACATTTCTTTCTCTTTTGCCTAAAATATGTTTAAAACAATGTAAGTATGAATTGCACATATTAAGATTTGGGCACAGCTAAACACAAGCACCTTATCTATCTGAAAAAAAGAAAAGGATGACTTTGCAGCCAAGTCTGAAATAGTCAGGAATTTGCATGGCTTGAAAATGCAGAATGAAGACAGCTGTTGAGAAGAAAAGGTGAAGATTACAGTTCTGTAGCTACAATTCAATACTTCTAAATAGATAAAAAAATAAACAAGAAACTTTAAAAATAGGAAAAATAATTCTCACCAGCTGCTGTGTCAGAACCTCTGAGAAACTATGTTATAACAAAACATCCAGGCCATTACTCATAATTTGGAGAAATGGGGTAAGTATTTTGAGTTCAAGCCAGTGCCAACGCCACAGCCCTACTGTTTATCAGTGAGTCTAATTTGAAAAGTCAGTATAGACAAAGAATGGAATTTCAGCAAAACCTGCCTTTGCAAGTGTGAGGAGATGAAATGGCTACTGAAAAGACAGCAAGACTTAAATGCAAGACTTAATATGGCATAAATTCACAACTACCCTGTAGAACTGGAAACATGCACTGTAAATTAATGTCAACTTTGTTTGAAAATTTTAATTAGTAGGAGAAGTGGCAGTGATGGTTTCTGGCAGATGGTGTTTCAGCATTTCCTGCGGGAGGCTCAGCAGAGGGAGGAGAGCGGTTTACTGCAAACGTGTGACCACACAGTGACTCCTAAAACACCCAAAGCTCTGCTCTACAGATAGTGCCATACTACACACACATGCAGGCAAGGACAAAACTAACTTTTATTTTGCTGCAAATGTTGCATTTCTTATATAAATTCTTTAATCCATCGATTATGTTTAGTAAAAAGGTCTGATTTTTAATCACATGCGGCACTATAGGCATTAAACAGATACATACATAGAGCTTGAAAGCTCTTACAGCATCTCACCAGCAGCACTTACACTGTAACCAAAATGTTACAGTTTTACCAAAAATCCAACAAGGTAAAATGCACTTCATTACAAAATTAGTCTCAATTTATTTCAATGTGAACGTAAGCATTAGAATATATACTGCACCACTTAGAGCTAAATGCTTACCAGGCGTATCAGACTTGGTCCCCCTTTTTTTTTTTTTAGCATGTGCTGTCAGATATACTAATAAAAGGTGCAAAGCTACCTCAAGGACATTCAAGAAGTGACATATTGGCTTGAAAAGACCCATGATAAAACCTCACAGTCTGTTGCCATATTCTTCTTATGACAGCAGTCCTGACTCCTCATGTTCTCTTAAAGTACGTAAAGCCAAAGAAGCAAATTATGTTCAAAAGCTGGTTCCCACAGCAGAAAGCAGGCATATCTCATAAGTCAGTGACACAGAGGAATACTAAATACACTAATGCCCTTTTTTCTTACACAAATAGGGTGGAAAATAGAGAAGAAAGGTTGATTGCATCTGCCATAAGCAAAAAAAAAATATATATATATATATATGCACACGCAACTCCTTGTAATTTAGAATCGTCCTTCCCTCACAAGGTTTGAAAACAAAACAAATCTTGTTATGAAGGACACAGCAAAACTATAAATCCTAATTCAGAAGTTCTCATTTGGTTAACTTTTCTCAAACTCTCGTCACCCAGGCAGCCTAGCATTCTCTCTCTTATTTTTGTTCCTTTAACTGATCCACTGTATCAAACCACATTTTTCTTGTGTCATTTGGAACAATTTTCCATTTTATAGACCAAAATATGAGAACAAAGACATTTGCAAAGTTCATTTCTTTTCTGTGAGGAATGAAGTATAAGTGATGATAAGAGATTCCCGAAAGAAAAGCTAGGTATGAGTGAGGATTTCTTTCTCAAGAGTCAGGGACATTATAACCTGGAAGTCAAATGAGAATTACTAATGGCATCATTTGCCATTGGCTCAGTCAACCTTGGGTTCCACAGGGTCTTCAAGAACTACACAGATGTCAAAAGACCCAAAATCCAAATCCCTGCATTGCACAGAAACAACTGTATAGAATGGATATTTTAAAAAGGCATGAGTACTTAACAGCCCACGTACTGACTGATCTTCTTCCATAAAGAAAATGATTTTGAAGTCTAAACTAGTCAATAGGCTAAAAGGCGGCAGGGGGAAGAAAAGCAGAAAAAAGAAACGGAGTTCCCAAAATCCCTAAAACTTTTTAAATCCCTTTTTTCCTCCCAGCTATCACAAAGGCTGTTTGTCAAAACTGTTTCTGGGTTTGGCTTTTTCCATGAAGAACTAAACAGAGCATTAGAGAGGAATAAAAATAATAATAAAAATAAATTAAATTCCATTATCATGCAAAGTTTTAATAAAGACCTGAGTCTGTAACTGAACATTTAAAAACATATCTAAATTAAGGTTTTTACAAAGTACCTGATGTGCAGTTTGTTGCTCTGCCCATCTTGTAAAGGATGCTCTTCTATGGCATCCTGTACAAAAGACGGTTGTTGCCGGTGTGTCCTGGTGTAAGGCAGAGTTCCTGTGTGGCTAAACATGTCACAGGACCTAATGGGAACCGTTGCCTTCTTCTTCCTGGGGAGAGTGCCATGGATAGAGATATCTTGAAAGGAATCTGCACGATGCTCAGCCAGAGAGGGTTTGCTGGTCAAAAGGTCCATGGAAGAAGCTAATGAGAACTGATGGTTCACTGGGACATTTCTGTGAAGACTTGCAAATTTCCCTGCAGCTATCATTCTTGGTTCTGGGAAAGAAAAAAAAAAAAAGGGAGAAAAAAAAAAAAGGCACATCAATCAAAGTCCCTATTTAAATGGAAATTAAGCAGCATAACTAATGAAAGCACCTAGAATTGAACTTCCACTTTGTTTCTTTTAAGGCAGTCAGATACTTCAACATGCAACCTGTACTACAGGCCAGTCATGTTGCTTGCAAATCACACATTTCATACACATCTATATGAACTTCTATAAATTCAAAGAGTCACAACACAAAAGCTGCTCATTTGAGCACATATGCAAATGTAAGCCTCGAGCCATTGTCCATTTTTTATCTTAAAAAATGCAGAAGTTTGCTTCGTTACAGCTGTAGTTTGAGGACTTCATGTTCAGCCCAACCATTAACAAACAAACAAAAAAGTTTTAAAAGCATTTTGACAAAAATAAGAGAGAGAATCTACAGCTCAATTTGTAAGAATACATTTCTAAATCCAATAGCTGGCACTGCTGGTGCAAAAATCTGTTTCTGAATACTCTTGTTCACGTAGCAAATCCAGCAGAGAAATGGTTACATATTTCTGGCAGGCTATAAACTAAAAGGCTCTGACCAAGAGATAAAGGCAGGAGCAGATGACTGGAATTCTCTTCTGCCGCATGCTCAGCCCGCTGAGGGAAACCACTGCTGACGCTGGAGATTTGCATAGCTGTCCATCTCTTACACTATCCATTACAGCCTGCTGTACAGCACAGGGTTTTCTATTACTGTGAACAAAACTTGGTGAGGCAAACACTTCAGACACAGATCCCAGTTCTGTTCCTCAAAAAGAAAAAGCTGCCTTGTGCTCACTCCATGATGTTATATAAAGCAGACCAGTCCTACTCTATCCAGTAATATTAGTCTGCTAAAGCTGTTTTTTTCTCCAACAGATCTGGGGTCCACCAATCTTACCTTATTGGACCCAGGTGGACACCCACCAGGTGTCTCCTATGAAAACTGGAAAAAAAAAAAAAAAAAAAAAGCACAGCAAAGACTCGCATGTACTCAGAAAAGACTCTGGAAATAGCAGCTCTGGCCAGAGAATCTGCTCAGACTTTGGGCAAGTTTCTTGCTGAAAAAGAACAGTAGTATCCTGAAAGCCCACCTGCTATCGCTGCACAAGAGTTCCTCTGGGCTGGGGGAACACAGAGGTGCTGCGGCGACACCAGGGCTGGCTCTGCAGTCCTTCCCTACCCCTTCTCCAGCCTCAGCATCACGGCGCAATCAAAGTGTGGCTGCGCTAAAAGCCCCGTTAGTTCAACTCAAAGGTTATCCTAACAGTCTTAGTTTTAGAGGAATACTAAGGCTGAGCTCAAATTCACGGAAAAAAATTCTACCCTCTATCAGCTGCCCTGCAGAGAAATTCACAGGCCGGGTAAGTTGTTCCAGACTTCCACAACAAACACATTCCCACTTCTCCATTATTCCAGGCCTTACAACAAATACTCATTAAGTACTCATAATATTTAAATTATGATTATTTTAATATTAAATTTGCCAAGGCTCTGAGCACAACTACACTATCGCAGAAAAGCTTTTGGAAATAGCATCTCTCTTAGCCCTATCACACAATATTATAGCAACCCAGTACCTTTCTAATCCAAAATTCTGAAAATTTTCACTAAATCCTTCAAAGTACAGCATTTTGCTTTTAACTGCCCCTCCTAAAAAGCTTTTCTTAAAAAAATAAAAACCTTTCAAGTTCAAACCTTTCAACCTTTCACATCCCTCTTTTCAATAACATTCCACAATCCATAAATTCAACACCTAATCTTCAAATTCTAACTTGAGTTTTGCTTTGAGTACCCAAAATAGAGTCCACATTTCATAAGAAATCTTCTCAAATCAAGCACTTGCAAGACACTTAGCCACAATTATGTGTGTAGAGAAGTCCTGACAGTATTTCAAGGAATTCTCCTCTCAGAACCACTCCAAACGGTCTGCGAACTTCTACCTGTAAATTTATCTGCTTACCTCTCTGCTTCTCTATCAAGAATTTCTGGTAAATGCAAACCAAGAACTAAAACAATCAGCGCAGTAACAAATGTCTTGCTGAAATTTCCATACTTTTTTTCTTGTATTAAATGTAAACACAGCAAACTAGTGAACTGAACCTGAAGATTCTGGAATGTCTCAAATATTTTAGCGTATGATTCAAGGAATGTTTGACCTTACTACAGATAGACACCCGATAATTTTACTCCCCAGAAACAGTACTCTCTGAACCTTTGTCACTGTGCAATCAACAGTAGGCATGATAGGAATTATACCAGAAGAGTAGCTGCAAGAAGAGATAAAATTCAGTTTTACACATTCCCTTGTGCCAAAATGTAGCACCTTACAGAACAGAGAGCTTTGGAAGTCAAACAAGTTTCCTCTAAATAGACGCTAACAAGACTAATTCAAGTCAACACACTGTTAAAAATGCTATGTGATTTTGTATTTTCATATATAATGTCATTTTTCCTTCTTCAGTCTGCAACTGGAGAAAGCATAAGGGAAGGAAACTAGCAGGAGTCTGATTCTGAATTGAGAAAAATGGGGGGCACAAAGGGTTGCAGATAGCTTTGGACATGTGCTGTTCGTTATCAAGGGGGCTGAGCAAACACAAACCAAGGTGTTTAAAATCACTATGAGTTTTAGGAAATACATGAGTTTGGACACAAATATGTATTTGTTGGACAAGACCAAATATGTACCAGACTGTAATGGGGGGGGGAGGGGAGGGTCTCTTCGCATCATTATTTAAGGCTTAAAAGAACCATATGAACAATAAAACAAATGACTTTTTCCTGCCTCACAGCAACAGGCAAAAAATCTTCAATCTATGCCCTCTTGGTTTGTGGACACAAACATAAGCTTTCTGGGTTGGGTGAACATCATGAGAACTTTCTCAAGCAGTTCACAGAGCCTGAGACAATGTTCTGAGGCCTTATTCAATTTGATAGAAGATTCAGCAGCACTTCCATACCAGAATGTAACATAACTAGAGGTGATCGCTGTGATTTGTTGTTTCAGTGCATTGCAGAGAAGAAATGAAGGAAAAAGGTATCTTCAGTTTGGCTTCAGAGATTCATGAATGACTAATAATGGGCAAGTTTTCCTTATAAAAGGAAACAAAAAACCAATCATATTCCTAAGCTATCAGAATTATTTCTGAAACACTTTTTGATATTAAATGATTCATGTATCTCTCAAAGTCTTATTGATCTAACAGGGAGCAGGATTTCCCCTGATGCTGGACAAAGCTTGTCGAAGTTCATACCTCGTGTTACCATGCCATCACCAGTGGTATGGCACTACCTCCAGTCTCACCACTTCTTTACCTATTGAATACATCCAACTGATGGAAAACTTATGTTCTCAGGTATTGACTCCATGGGATGGAGTCAATTTCTGTAAAAAACAATTATTTTCAATACAGTAAAGTCCCTTACCTCCCTCCTCTCCCAAAATAGTAAATTTGGAAAAGTTGGGGATACGTAACTTGTTTTCTCTCTTTTGATTTCCTTGGCACATTTACATGAATTATGTATGCACATGCTGGCAATAATGGAAGTGGTCAACGATACTGGGCAAGAACTCTGGCAAGTCAACGTCAGGATACAAATCAGACAGATTTTCTGAGCTCTTTATTTTTTCCCCTCTCCTGTGTGGTAGGATGATTTAAAGATCACACATTATGGAAAAGGAATACAGTTAAAACTAAAGCCACTATAAATGCATGCAGTCAGATTTCATGTTAATTGCTTGCCTAGAAGTACCATAGAGTCTTTTTCATTAACAGAAGTGGATTCCTGTTCCCAAAATAGCTTATGTGAAACACTCTGCAACATGCATTTTCTCCTGGATTGTTACAGAATAAACTGATGCAGTGGCAGATATACCAAACAGGTCACAGGACTTTGAGAAGAATATTAAGGTTCAAGAATCTGCAGCTTGTTACGATAAGGAGAAATAGATTGCAAAAGCACATATCAGAGTTCAAAGGCTTTCAAATTCTATCAGAAGAAATGTAAATCTGTCAAACTTCCAAAAAAAAAAAAAAAACTGCAAGATTGCAGACAGATCACTGCTTTCAAAGGATCCTGAAGAGCTGTCAAACTGTTCTTGCTCTTTCTGCTTATATGTACACAGACACATGAACCCCATCCATGCATCTTTGAGCCATAATCTGACAGTCTATTTAAAATGTTAGTTACAATTATTCTCAGGGAACAGAAAACACACAGACCCGGATTACTTATCTTGGCGAATTTTCGCAGTTTCAAGATGAAAGAAACAGATAAATCACACACTTCCTTTCTACCTGTGGAACTACTTGAGACCAGTAAAGAACACCATGAAAGAATAATCATTAAAGAGGATTCAATAATAAAAAAGTAGAGACCACATTAGGCTTATACTACAAAATTATGTAAGAAACTTAAGTGCCCACCAGTTTAGCTCAGTAATGCTGAATAGTATGAAGCCTTGACTTGAAATAAACACTCTCTCCCCTCTTTGCTAGCAGAAATAAACAGAGAACTTCACCACGGCTAAAGTCAAATCTACCCATTTTTCAGCTAACAATTCAAAATACAAGCTTTGTTCTTCCACCAGCATAGGAAATCATTTATTGTTTTGTTTGCTGCTCTGTTCCCATGATTTTGCTCAAAAAGAATAATCCCACACTGACTCGAACTCTTTCAAAGATATTCCCAGCAGTAAGTACGCTATGTATTATTTGGAATTAACAATCAATTTATGTTCAGTAACAGTTCTGTGTATCTTCCTCTTTGAGTGACAAAAATAAAAAATAAAAACAATACATTTCCTTTCTGTCTACGCAGTGTAACATCTTGGTATCTGGAGCACAACGATACTCTAAACTTATAGATTATTTGGGAGATTTCCACGGGATTCATTCCTATGAAGTCACCGCTCAAGTATCGCAGTGGATCAAGCATCGCGGCAGCCAGCGCCCCGGCTAGGACATTCCCAGGGCCTG